TGCTTAATTCCTATAGTGTTGGCCTCAAATCTCTCTAATAAGACCAACCGATATGTTAAGTCATCCCAAAGAACTAGTTGATCCGACACAGGCGCCCATATAACAAGCAAGCGAAATTAAGTCTCATGATTAAGCAATTCACAGCTAGAGTTGGACAACTCAAGCAAAATTGGAACGGGACATCCCTCAATTTCCCACGAGGAATACAAGTCTTCCACGGTTTAGGGGAAGCAATAATTGTATAGGGCCACACTAAGAAATCCTTGTGGGTGATTTCTTTTTATTTGAAATAGTATAAATTTTTCCTTCAAAAAAGAGGAGGTTTGACTCCTATAAATAGGATGTATTGTGCAACATGAGGAGCATTACCTTTTTAACTTTATCAAGGAATTCTCTTTTTCTCATTATGTCTCTCTTGTTTCTCTCTCACTTCTATTTATGTGATTACTTTACATTCCTCGGGTATAATTCTGAGACAAGTCTGAACTTAACACTGTAAAAGATGTGGCAAACATAGAATCATGCTACCAAGAAGAAAAGGATCAATGATTAGCGTACCAATGCAAGCTGAGGAAAGTATTTCGTGACCCAATACATACAAGAATTCAAAGATCACATCAAGAAATTGATAAGATAAATGCCAATATAGAGAGCAAATTGATGTTATAACCACTGATTCCTTCCACAACTCCAAGGCAGTGTTTGGCTGCAGCTAAGCTTTATGTTAAATAGGATTCATTAAATCCGATGAATCATGATTTATCAAATCCGTAATCCATCGCGATCAACAACGAAATAAATCCGCCTTATATTCAGATTTATGAAATCCGGATTTACGTTATGAAAAAGACTGAAGGCCGGAAGAAAACAACGAAATGTGCAAAAATAGGAGTTAACGAAGTGTTGGATTTATTTCTTTTATCTTTTTTTTTTTTTTTTTTTTTTTTTTTGTGGTGTTTGGTTGGATGGATTTAAGCTAAATCCAATAAATAACATGTTAACAAACACCGCCCAAGTGTGAGCGACGAGACATACTGCCGCGACATTATAGGATATGCCTCTCAGACGTGAAATGGAAGAAGACGTAATAACGCTTGCCGACCAACGCCCGATAGTGCTTTCTCCAAACAGACCGTTGGGGCGAAAACACCTGAACAATTCAAAACCCCAACCCTGGAACCATATCGAGGGAAGTCCGATCCGAAAAACCACGTCGCCTATTTCGAGTCAACATTATAATATCATTTTTCTAAACTCGGAAAAAGAGCAAGTCTTTGTAGTCATCATTATATAGTGGATTATTTCAACTAAGCTATAGACCCATGACCTTTTCTCTTTTTCAGAGTTTTTCACATAAAAACGTGTCTCTAAATTACCCGAATATGTGTAGAAATTTCATGCAACACTAAAATACTAATTAATCACTCTACCGCAGCGAATCATCCAACACACTTCACTACTAATTAACCATTAGCTAAATGACAATATTAGATATTTCATCCGTGAAAGTCCCACAAGTAATCCCCGTTTAAAATGGAAACTGCCGGAAGGCACATGCTTAAGCAGTTACTAATCGCGTAATTAATCCTCAATCAATTACTAATAATTAAGCTTACCAAGTAATTAAGTGATGGCCTCGCCATCCACGTGTCATCCTCCCTGACATATCATTTATTGTGTTTTTGTCGCCCACCTTTATTAATTTGTGGTTAATTGCTTTGGATTTGCCGTCTAACGTTTTATGTCAAATTATAATAAGAAGAGAAACAAAGTAGGAAGCTGTGTTTAGACAACGGCTGCAATCTATCAGATAGAGTGAAGGAAAAAAAAAAAAAAAAATACTTCCAGTGAATCGCGGCCGTTGTTTGGACGCAGCTTGCATCTGGACTCCGAACGTAAATATTTCCTCATCGAGCCGAGTCGAATATGTCAAGAAAATTATCTAGTTTGGTCAAATCTTAATATGATGATATTTAGTTCAAACATGAGCCGCATTTTTATATATTTGTTTATATTTGATTTGATTAAAATTAGTAATATTCACATTTAATTTAATTTGTGATTGATTGTTTATATTAATTGAACAAATAAAAAAAATTGAAAGGGTACTTAATTTTCATATAAGATTAAAATTTTAATGTTTAGTTGATTTTCTTATATAGAGCTAATGAACAAGTTAAAATTTTTGAATTAGTACTTAAATTTTTATATAAACTTGTTTATAAATATTTTACAAGTATAAATAAGTAATTAAATAAATTTTAAATTAGCATCTCACTAGTTTATATCAAATAAAAAACAATGTATAAGTTATAAATATATATATATATTTTTTGCAATAAGAAAACATAAATAAGTACTAACACATGATTTCATTAAAATAAAAAGAAAAAAAACATTGCATTAAATTTATATGCATTTTGCTTATTATAATATATTACTCTTAAATATATAATTAATTAAGTTCTTGTCAATCAACTTTTATTTCAATAATATATCATATAAGTATATAACATTTAATGAGTTATTTATTGAACAACAAATGAGTTTGTTCGTGAGCATTAACAAACGAAGTGAGCTATATTCATATTTGATTTATTTAGTAATTTGAGCGAAGATGATTGAGTATTAATCGAGCCAAATTTGAGCAGTTCATCAAGTGCATTGATTCATTTACAACCTTAGATGTAAGTAAGATTATGAGGTATGTTTGGATCTAATTTACATTAGCGTATGTTATGTCTACTTATTGATGATGGTTGTGGTGTCATTAGAAATCAGGGCTCACTAAAACATTGTGAAACAAGTAGAGTTATTGTGCAACACTACCTAACTAAGTGAATAAGCATTTGTATGAGCAACTGAAAATTCATCACTTTAATTTAGCGGCTGAATGTTCATCCAGTATTTTTAAAGGTTAAGCTTAGTTAATGAGTTATTTAATAAAGAGATTAATTCATGTTTATTAAACTTTAAAAAAATATTTGAATAAAGTATTAATTATGCATAGGTGATTCTTCCATCACCCATGCATATCATTGCAGATGACATTATTGACTTGGTCAGTGCAAACCAATGGGGAGGGCATGCTGTTTGAAGTGTTGTCTAGAATGACTCAATCTTGACCATTCATTTCAGTTAAATTAAATGAAAGGTGTGAGATTCTTCTTCTTTCTCTCCTCAAGAAGTCACAATCATTCACAAAAATGGTCATGATTCGAACGAAATTGGAAAGGGAACCTAACTCTAGTCCAACTAGGGGTGTAAACATGTCGATTGGAGCTCAAGCCAAGCCATTATTGAGCTCGGCTCGTCTGTCACATTGTTAGATCAAGTTTGAGCTCGAGTCTAGCTTGAATAGTGCGTTCGAGTGTGACTCATAGTGGTATCAACTGGCTTGTGAGCTCAAACTACAAATTTGATTTTTATGTGAGCTCGCCGGAGAAGGTATTGATAGGCGGCGGCAAAGGAGGATGCAACGGCAGCTCACTGGAAAATACATCGAAATGAGTAATGTACTTATCGTTGTGATGTCTCTCCGAGCAGTCTCCAACCATTCACAAGAGCTTGAGATCACCAAAAGGTTATCGTAGATGTTTTCTAAATAAATATCAAACTCACGCATTAAATATGTTTTCTAAATAATTTAATAAAAAAGTTGTCCTTGCAAAAAATATAAAATGTAATTGATGACTATATGCCTACATACACTTATAAATAAATAATATATATTTTTTAATTTTTTAGGCATGCTGACAAAATTGATTGATTTGAGTTTGGTATAGTGGAGAGCAATGTTTGATTGGTGTTAAGCTCCTATAGGCTTTAATGGGAGTAAACCAAAAAGGTCGAAATTAAGAATATAAGTTTATAATTCAGAAATAAGTAGTAATTATCTTAATGATTGTAATTTTAAGAACGGTTGAATTCAAATTCGTCCTGTTAAGCATGCCCAAGGATTGATGCTGTAGGGAACAAAGAGGAAAAAAAGAGAGGGCGACGAAGGAAGTAAGAGAATACACGCAGGCTTGTCTCGTGAGAGCGAACTGGGATATTCTCGGGCTCTATAACCCTTTTATGTATCTAAATAGAGAAAAAAAAATGAGGAGGGCTCCACCTCTAAAGTATAGGTCTCGATTTAAGAGACAAAAAACCTCTTATACATGCACTAGACCTTTTATTTATAAGAAACTAAGGGCCAAAAAGCTTAAATTTACATACTTTCCCTAGCTTTTATGAGGGGGTTACATGATATTGATGTCTTTTTCTATCAGTAGTCATTAT